AGTCATTCAGCAAGAGCTTCAAAAACAAAGGAAAGAATTTAAGTGTACAAAAAAGGACAATAAATACAGTTTACTCTGCATCTGTATGAAATACATGGCTTCAATACCTTCAATAATATTTTAGTATGTGTAATAATTATGTTAACAAAGGATTTTTTTTTCTCTTCCACTCTGCTGAAATAAGGTATGTCTACATGAATGTAGAAAAGTCCTTTGCTGAGTTAACCCAGTCAGACTGGGCTAACTCACGTACTGAGTGCATGATAGCTGTAGTGGGAACAGGGTGCAGAAGGGTTAAGTGTTCTCATATTCACCCAGGATCTCAGATGTGGTTTGCAGCTCTGCTGAGCTCCCTGCTACCAGGACTACCTGGTACATGAGCTAGCTAATTTAGTCATGCTGTCTATCCAGTTACATACTGAATATCCTTGTTTGGGTTGGTTGGTTGGTTGGTTGTTTCACTTAAGTGTGAACAATAAAAAACCTAAATATCTCTTCATACTTGATTAATCACTGAATTTTCCCAAATTGTAGTTGCTCCCAGATAGCCATGCCACACTGTGGCAGTAGAGCTCACAGACTCAACACAGGCCTCCAAGGAGGGCTCTGAACTCCAGGCTCACCTGAAGACACCAACATGATGGTAGCAGCTACAGCCCAGGACTTGCTGCAGGACTGGGGACATACATCCCTGTGTGAGGGCACTCACTGTCACACACCTTGGCTCAGGAAATCTTCAGAATTAAGAAACAAAGTTGAGGGTCCCTTGTAATTGTATTGAATACCATGAGCCAGGGTCAGGAGGTGAACGCAGCTACAAAAAGTCATAGAATTATTGGTTAATAGATTATAATAAAAAGCATATAATTGTAATCTAAACAATATCAGTATATGTGTTTGTTTCTATAGTAAGTTTTTTAAAGAATCATCCATGTTTAGTGCTGTGAGCCCAAACTCTTAAATTTTACGCTTCATACTCATATTATAACCCTGGTGGTGGCAATCATGGCTTCTTGGCCTTTACCCCAACGGTGAGATTAAACTAGTGCCCTTAGCTGTCTCAAAAGACAGTACAGAGGAATAATGAGCTCTTTGCTGCTGTTGAGAATTGCCACTCTTCACAAACATTTTGAAGTTGTATGGTGTGTGAAATAATTACCTTAGTAAAACCACTAAGATTTCATTTGCCCCTCAGGAAACAACATAATGAGAAAAATAATGTTATTATAAAGTTTGTCTTTTTGTTTTTCAGAGCTGTGTATGCAAAGGTAAAAGTCCCTGCTTTTGTGATAGCACGAAAGGTAGTAAGGTAAGAACAAATACATGTTTCCTTTTTTAAAATAAGCTTATGCCTGAAAATTGTTAATGCATTAGTTGAGTTGATATAGTGAGTAAATTTATTGTGTGATGGTATTCTGTCAACAGAGTCTACAGAGAATTGTAAAAGGAATACATTACCTTACCAAAATCTGTTAAAATAACTCTGGGGACATGGTTTAACTAAGACACTTAGATTTTTTTTTTTTTTTTTTAAATGCATTAGTTTGTTTACAGCATTGCGTGATGTTTGAACACCAACAGAAGAACAACTGTCTGAAGCACTAGGTTCCTTTCACAGACTTCTAACAAATGCCCACGGATACCATTACCCTGGCAGCAGCTCTCCTGTTACAAATTTCATAATGCCATCAAGAGTGTCATGTTCAGTGCTTCCCCTTTCCATCTTTGGACCTTGCCCATCTCCCCCCCTTTTCTGGTTCCTGAAGGAAAGCTACATGCAGTGCCATCAGACAGGTAAATCTCCTGCAGGCCCACACAGGGGATGAATTTCTGGGTCCTAATCACAAACACCTTGCCAGCAGTGAGGGAACAGCATCAAATGCATCAAAAGCAACAGAGCCGCAGCTCTGCCTGTTGCCAATAGTAGCTTGGCAGGGCTTGGAGTGGCTTTTAGACAAACCTGAATTACACAAATGCCAAAAATTCTTTCAAACTCCTGCTTGTAGTTGGAAAAACAACTGATTCACAAATGAAAGGGGCATTATTAAAGAAGTCATAGCTGTAATTCTGGCTAACTGTGGACACAGTGATTGCCATACTAAACCTTATCAATAGATTCCAGATGTCTGTAGGCTTAGGGTTGTGACTAGTCCCACTGATCAACACATCTGGCTGGTAAAGAATTACAACTTTTCTCCTGTACTTTTATTACAACAAAAAAATGTCATATTGCACCACAGTAAACACTGCTAGTCTTGCCTTAAGGAAGCTTCATTTCAGTGGTGGAGAAAAGTTCTCTCAAAGTAAATATGTTCATTGTTGAAACATATTTTTGTAAGTGGGAAAGGAGAACACTCGCGTCTTTAGTAAAATCTCAGTGCTTATTTTTCATCTTCTTAGTTGATCTAATCTGACTTTGTCCTAAACAGTAAAATTGAGACCAGTTGAAAAATTAGAAAAAAATAAGCTGCCCACTAAAAGAGAAATATTAATAAGAATAAACACCTGCAACTTGTCTTCATCAGTTCCACGTTAAAGCAACTGAGCAGTTAGTAGGTAAGAGTTAATCATTGTTTACACTGATGAAGTTTTTCAGGCAGCTTTGGAAAGTCAGGACAATTACAGTATGTTTTTATAATTGTTCAATATTAAGACATTCTCCAACCTGAGAATCCTCTGATCTTGTTGATCTGTCAAGAGGAAAGTGTGGATAAAATTGCCTGTACTGTGTGGAAGGGAGTGCAGCTCTGGGGAGAGCGCAGTGCTGCTCTGTATCTGGAGAGCACCCCATCGCCTGCTGCAGTGGGGGCGTAGGAAGCTCTATAGAGGAAGATCAAGGTCTTTCGTTTTCCGTGAGTTAGTGCCGCACCCCCTCCAGTGGCTGGTCTTGGTATAGCATTATCCCTTTCCTGCCTTTCTTTGGACGCTGGTGGATGAAATAAATTATTTGTTATAAAAAGTTATGCTAGTTTATAATGCAGAGCTCACACACACTTCATAATGCAAACCTTATTTTGATTTGTGTTAAAATATTATGGGATTATATTCTATCTTTCAATATTTTTTTTTAATTAAGAACCTATTTAAAATCTGGTGAGTTTGTGGCATTTTGAGGGGCAAGAATTGGTGGAGGGACAAGCCAAGGTATCTTGGCTGCCCCGAGACTTCTTTTGGATCCCATCTTGTACATCAAATGATAAGATACCGGAACTTTTGCACAGCAGAATTTCAGATGCTTTTTTGTATAACGCTCCCTGACAACGCAATAGGAAAATTGACACTGAGAGAATCAATAACCCTATCCTCTCTCTCCCATGCCATGCTTTGGATAGGCAGCTCTTCACTGATGTCAGATTGAGTATGCTAAATTGCTGCTATCTATCTAAAGAGTTGAAACACCTTTTCTGTGAGTTTCTAGGCTTGAAGCACTTTATTTTAACCAAGGTAAGACTTGAATCTTCATTATATTGAAACAAAAAACTGAAAATTCCCTTCTAGTATAACTTAGCCACCTGTATTCTATTTGTGTAACTTTAATCTTCTGTGTTATCTTTACGTGGTTTGGTTATTTGAACTTGACCTTAAAAAAACACATGAAAAAGTAGTTTGGTATCTTAATCTCTGAGATTCAGAACAATTTTTAAAAGTTGTCACTTAAAGCAAACTTCTTTTATTCTATCTGAATGGTTTTGTTGCATTTGACTCCCACTGCTTCTCTCAGTTCTCCATGGCTTGCATGAAGAGAGGTATTGATTTGGAACTGACCCTGCTGTACAGCAGCAACCAATTTTGCCAACTACAAATTAGAGCTGCTGTGATGGATTTGGATTTGTGTTGTGTGTAGGGACTAAACACAATATAGAAATATTAATGAAGAGTATATATGAGCTGCTTTCGTAAACTTTTCATGCTGCCAATTAACTTCTGTACTCTGCAAAATCTTGCGTACTGTTGTCTTCTGATATATTCAACCATACTTAAAAGCATGTTACTTCAGTGGTACCATGTGGCCTAGACAGCTCATGGGTGGGACCACAAGAACAGGTCAGTATGGGCAAGGGTAATGTATCTGCCACAGTAGCAGACAGATATGTAGAAGTTAAGAGGTACAGAAAGTAATGAATGCCTTAGAAATAAGTTATCAAAAGGAGAATTCATGGATATTTAAAAAACTTCATTCTCTTAATGTTTACAGGGTGAAAAAGGCTTTCCTGGTGTTCCAGGTCCACCTGGTCATAGAGGCTTTCCTGGTCCAGAAGGACCTCCAGGGCCACAGGGACCAAAGGTAGGTTTGTATGTGAGACACGGAGAAACTACTGTGACTATGAAAGTGAGCTATGACTGGGTAGAGAATTCTGTTTTTTTTTTTTTAAAAAAAAACAAACCTGTTTCAGAGTCTTCTATTTGGTGAGGGATGTTGCGTGGTCACCAGCTGCAATGGTCATTTTCTACTTGAGCCGAAGTAGCTGATATGAACATGGGCTTTTGTTGTCAGTTGTCCATTGGCCAGTGCTAAAGCATGGTGGATCTCAGACATGTTGATGAGCCATTTATTTGAACTCATTGAAAACTGTTTAGTAGAGCATTTCCCTTTTAATTAGTGATAACTTCTGCAAGAATGGCAAAAAGTATGGATAATTTATCTAGCAAGAGCACAAGTCTTATGAGGAGTGGCTGAGGGAACTGGGATTGTTTAACCTGGAGAAAAGGAGGCTCAGGGGAGACATTATTGCTCTCTACAACTACCTGAAAGGAGGGTGTAACGAGGTGTGTGTCAGTCTCTTCTCCCAAGTAACAAGCAACAGGACAATAGGAAATGGTCTCAAGTTGCGCCAGGGGAGATTTAGATAGGACATCAGGAAATATTTCTTCCCCAAAAGGGTTGTCAAGCGCTGGAACAGGCTGCCCAGGGAAGTGGTTGAGTCCCCATCCCTGGAGGTATTTAGAAGACATCTAGATGTGGTGCTTAGGGCCATGGTTTAGTGGTGGACTTAGCAGTGTTAGGTTAATGGGTGGACTCGATGATCTTAAAGGTTTTTTCCAACTTAAACGAATCTATGATCTCTGATAGCCTGAATGCCATCTATTGTAGCGTATTCCAGTTAGCTTTTCCTATTCAATGCCTGTACATTATTTTAAACAAAATGTCACCAAGGATTTGAGGAGCTATGCAGTTCTGTGCATTCCCCATTTCCTTTCTGGGAACGATGAAAGTTTCTTATCAGTAAAGCCCTAAGTGTCTTGAAACAATTCTAGCAGATTCTGTCTAGACTATGCTGTGGCATGCTTTGCTCTCTGCTTTCTGCCTTGCTCTCCCATCCTGCTTAGCCCCCTTTCAGCCTGTTCCTAGCTTTCCTTCCCATGCACAACAGTGCAGGTGAGAGAGGCTGGTACATGCATATACCTGATCATTACATAGATGTCACTCATATCTGGGAGCCTCCAGCTGTTTCCTCACAGGGAAGCACTTCCATGTCTCACAGTTTGAACAGATCCATAGCAACTGCTTTCTCAACATACCCTGGCTGTGATTTTTCTGACCTATGGTAAGATATATCACCTGTAAACACTGAAAGGGAGAGCAAGATGCCATGATTTATGCAAGTTGTATTAATTGCTTGTTTGCTTTAGTGTCTGTAATAGGCAAATAATTTCTTTAGTCATATAGTTTCATGTGCATGTGTTGGTATTGCTAAAATAATGAAAACATTTCATGTCCTCTTGACATATATGTGCTTTTTCTCAATTATATTGAAATACATTGTTTTCCATTTGTGATCTAGGGTTCTCCAGGGCTTACAGGCTTAGTTGGACCCAAAGGTATACGAGTAAGTATTTATATTTTAAATGAACTTGTATGTATTAAATGTCATGTTAAATGCCGACTTGGTTCAACAATTTATGAAAAATAAAACCAAAACATTAGATATGATTTTAAAGTATTTTTAAAATTTATGGCACTGTCTATGCACATGCATTATCTATTTCTTAGCACTCTTGCCTTTTTTGTTACACTTCATGTACAAGGCTAATGCTGTATGTATTTAATATTGGGGTGTACTATGAAAAAGTCAGACGAATTCCATGAAGAGTCATTTGGGGTTTTTTTCTGTGGGCAAAGCCAGTCTATGTTGACAGTGCCTAAGCTACCATTACACTTAGTTCACATTCAGAAGGGGTGAGGAAATAATGATCTTTTGATAGAATCATATTTGCATTCATTCTTCTTCTGAATGTGATCAAAAGAAAAAAATGCATTATGAGCTTTTGCTTAATATTTGTAATATTATTCCTCTGTTTTTATATCATTAGGGAGTCCCAGGAATACCTGGATTTTCAGGTCCCCCAGGCCTTCCAGTAAGTATAAACAAAACTGAGTTAACCATTTCTTTCTTACTACAGTCTTCAGTACACAATTATCCTCAGCCCAATGTGCTCACTCTAGTCTCAACATCAGCATTGTCTCTGTCAATTAGTCTAGAGATAAAAATCTTAGCATCAGCAATTCTTACTCACTGTAATGATTTAAGAACACGTGGTAATCTGTCAAGTCTTGTGAAACACTGCTCCAATATAAACTCTTTCAGTGTTGCTGTAGGGCAATATGCATGCGCGAAAACAAAGCTTTTGTCAATTTTGCACTTCATTTTAGGGTGAACCGGGAACTGTTGGTCCTCCTGGGCGCTCGGGTGTTCCAGGATGCAATGGCACAAAGGTACCAAACAGAGATGAATGTTATGGAGATTGTGTTTGGCTATGCTTAGGAATGGCCAAAAAGCATTCTGAATTTTTCCCCCCATATACAACAACTTTGACTTGTTTTGGTTTGTGACTTTATCAACTAGGAAAAATTTGAATCATGAGAAGGAGAATTGCTGCCTTTTGGTGTAAGATAGATAATTAAATAATTCATGTGAATGGCCTTAGCTAAAAAGTTAAGAATAATGTTTGATATTTTGACAGACAAAACTTTTTTCATTAAATCCAGAAGACCTAATCAGTTTTGTCCAACCTGTGCTTCTATTGAAATGGGTTATAGAAGCAATAGATAGATAATTAATTTTATTTCACTGGTATCTAGCTTGCAGTTGACAATTCATAAGTCCTGAAAGCAATTAAAAGAAAAGGCTTGATGTTAAGTTACAGGTTTACTAGTTTTCCTTTGCTCTATGAGCAAATGCTTCCAGCATTCTGAAAGAGGGAGTCAGAAGAATGCCTACTACAGAAAATCATACATTTCTAGTGAAAGAGTGAACTGATCTGACATAGCTAATAAAGCTGGGGTCTGGGATAGAAGTCGAGACCCATACAGTCAAGCTGTGCCCCTTCTAGAAAATATAGTGGTAATGCAACTCACAATTTTGGTATGATAACATAAAAAAATGTCTTTCATAATCACATTTGCTAAAATCAGGCCAAATAATGAACAATAATATGCATTAACAGTCACTCTTACTACTTGCAGGGTGATCAAGGTTTTCCAGGTCCTCCAGGTAGAAGAGGTGCTCCAGGTGTTCCAGTAGGTGTCTGAAATTCATGACTGTGTGCATTTCTACCACGTAAAGCCATTCACTGAAGGGGTGTAAAGCCTCACATTAGCTGGTATTGACAACAGTTGAAATATATAGGTATCACCACTTTATTAATATGAAGACTGTGCGGTAAAGAACCCAAAGTTAAAAGTAATGCCTTACCTGCTGCATGTGGGCCTCAACTTCTTAGTCAATAAGCACATGCAAATTCATTGACTGGTGTAAGCTCTTTAGTGTCTCAAGGGATACTCATGGAAGTTTAGTGCTCACGTCTCTAAAGGTGTCTAAGATACATTTAATAGATTGCAATTTCATGTAGTTCTATATCTTTGAGGATATAGTCTAATTAGTCAATAAAAACCAGGAATTAAACCCAGAACTTCTCATTATGGCTGTATTGCTTTAACCCTAGGATTTGTTTTTCTCTTCAGAAATGTATTTTCAAAAGAAACTTCTAAACAAGAAATGGAAAATGAATGCTATCTGTCAAGTTCCAGTAGCTTCATATCTAAGAACTAAACATGATTTTACTTTGCCAGCAATCATAATTTTATTTATTTATTTATTAAGGTCAGGTTTCAAAACTGTTCTGTCTTCACTTGTAGAGTTGTAACTGTGAGACTGGACTATATTTTTAACAATATGCCCTTTCTTCTTAGATTGACATGTGGCACAGTAAACATGTACCTGGCTATATACTGTGTCCATGAAAATAAATTGCGTCAAGAGCACTGAGCTTAGGGAATATTTAGAATGTGTTCTTTTGCCATTGTCACTTTCACTTTCCTGTTTTAGTAATATGATTGTTCTTCTCCCTAGGGTATTGCTGGCATTAAAGGAGAGAAGGTCAGTTATTTACACCATATTATGTGAAATACTTATTGGTGATCAACAGTTTGTGTGTATGTTTGATGCTGGAGAAGAGTTCCTAACGTTTCCATTCAAACAGAAGGTCTGCTTTCCAAAAGAAACAACCACAAACTTTGGTGCTTTGTCTGTGTGAGTTGCATTCACCCCCGGTTACAAAACAGTATATATTTTTTCCCCTTTAACTACTGTTATTGCATGTAATGAATTTAACCCTGTTAAGCACACAAAGAACTAAGCCTTTCCCCCAAACAGCTTATGAATTCATATGGAAATTTGCAGATGCATTAGAGAGTATTTTAAAGGGATAAAAAGTACCCCCAAAAAATTGAAGGTCAGGACTGTGGGTGAGTAAAGTAGGAGAGAACTGGAATGCCTGGAAAAGGTATATTCTGTTTATTAAAAACTTCTTTAAAGGTAGTACTATCCATAATGGACAGTTGCCATCATTATGAAATTCTGATGTTATTTA